GCTTGGGGTCTTACAGTGACATGTGATCATGTCACCTGAATTGGAATCCATCTTTAACCTGGTGTTTTTCCATTGAGAAGGAGGGGTGGGAACCCAGAGGGACAAAGGATTCCCACCTTATGCAAAAGATATATAAGGAGGTGGAACAGAATAAAGGGGGCGGCCATCATGAGAAATCCCCTAGCTACCGCCTGAGCTGGAACAAGGGCTGTACCAGGGGAAAGGATTGTGCCCAGACTAGGAAGGTGTCCAGTCTGTGACAGAAACTTATTGAAACATCTCTGAGAGTGAGATTTTATCTGTATTCAGTTTTATTACTGTATTAGGCTTAGACTTGCGTGCTCTAGTTTATTTTGCTTGATAATTCACTTTGTTCTGTCTGTTACTACTTGGAACCATTTAAATCCTACTTTCCATATTTAATAAAATCACTTTGTACTTATTAATTAACCCAGAGTATGTATTAATACCTGGGGGGGCAAACAGCTGTGCATACCTCTCTATCAATGTTATAGAGGACGAACAATTTATGAGTTTACCCTGTATAAGCTTTATACAAGGTAAAACAGATTTATTTGGGGTTTGGACCCAATTGGGAGTTGGGCATCTGAGTGTTAAAGACAGGAACACTTCTTAAGTTGCTTTCAGTTAAATCTGCAGCTTTGGGGCATGTGGTTCAGACCCTGGGTCTGTGTTAGAGCAGACGGGCGTTTCTGGCTCAACAAGTCAGGGTACTGGAGTCTCAAGCTGGCAGGGAAAGCGGGGCAGAAGTAGTCTTGGCACATCAGTTGGCAGTTCCCAAGGGGGTTTCTGTGATCCAACCCGTCACACTGTAGTTGCCTGAATTTTCACTAGAGTACATCTGATTCATCCCACAATAAACCATAGGCTAGAAAAACAACCACACATCTGAGGAGCAAGGTCAGCTACAGAAGATACAAATCCTGCTCCTCATTAACCAAGTGGGTAACTACACTCATCTATCTAATCTGCTTCAAAGTGTTTCAGGGACCATTTCCCTGAGACAAGCAAACTTTTTAAAAATGTATCAGCTCTAAGTTGAAACCTCTTTTCCCAGATAGGCTTCAATTCTTAAGAGCTGAAACAAGACCATTACAGTTTTCTTAGATTGTAGTTTGCTCTTCACTAAACCCAGTTGTATTTTAAAGTGACTAGAACCAAACTGATTTGATAGGTGGATTTTTGGAACTGCTGCCCCAAACAACTGGAATAAGCTACCTGTTCTGTTTAGGTAGGTACTGTCTACTTTCAAGAAACTTTTGAACTATCATCTTGAAAGGAACTGAAATAGTATGCCACATTTAGTGTAAATAAGGACAGAATTTGGCCTTTGGACTGCAGAGTGTTTTCTGCTATTTTAGGTTAATTGTCTTGCATATAATATTGTTGGTACAGTACTGAGCATGCAGCTATAAAACTGTATAGCTGCTGTTTCTCACGAGCCCTCATGAAAAGGAGATGCCTATTTTATAAGGTTATCCCAGTGAGCAACATTTTAAATATTAAATGTGTACTTCCTCATTCACAGTGAGGAAAAAAAAGTGAGGGAACTCACGTTACTTATGAATTTATTGCAATTCCCTCTATTTGGGACTGCAGCTGAAGACCTCTCAAACTTCAGATGATGCAGAATGTGGCAAACTTTATTTAGTGGCATTTTCTTCAGAGAGTATATTACACCTGTGCACCATAATAAGCAGCAGCTTCCAGAGTAAAGATGCTGATTTTAACTTATAAGAGCACTAAATGATTTGGGTTCTGGATACCTTATAGACTTTTTCTCTCTTTGCATGATACCCTGGCAGTGGAAAACAGCAAGGTGCTTAAGCGAACAGCTCCCAAGTTTAAGAAAAGAGGATGCTTTCCCAAAGGATATTTTCAGTCTTCAACTTCACAACTTGCTCCCTCCACCTCAGTTTGTCAGAGTCCAAATTTGTTTGCTTTCCAGCCTTCTGGAGGGTACAAAGGATAATTAAGATTCACTGACAGAATTTTGATATGGACAATGGTCCTATTTGTACCATGGACGTGCCCTTAGAGTGTGGACAGGTGGTTTATTGTTAAGCTTGAAACTGTAGCCATCCAAGCCGAACTGACATGTAATACCACATTACTAAATTCACATCCAAATAAAATAGCTAAGTTACTTAAAGAGCTGATCCTGTCACTCTTACACATGTTGAGTAGTAACGTAGGGTGAAAGTAATACCATTGAAACTTGTGGAGAAAATGCTACTCCACATAAGTAAGTGGGGCAAAATTGGACCTTCAATAAATAATGCTGCAGCAGCAGAAGTCTTAATTGAGGAGCAGTGCATAACTGATCAGTCTAATGAGGTCTTCAAAGGCAGTTTTCTTTCTTTTCATTTCCCATTTCATTTTTCTTTAGTCAAGTAAACAAGCTTTTTGTATTTAACTCAGGAGAAGAGCTGAAGTTTAGCGGTTCACTTTGAGCACTGCCAGTTTTAGAAATGACAAAATATATGTTTATGAAAGGAGCAAGACAGGCAGTCCTATTAAGATAAACACATTTGATTAACGCTATGATATACACAACATTTAAAAAATCCCCTACTGAATGATTACCATATGGTGGTTCTTTGCAGATGGAGTTTTCACTAGTGATCAACTGTACCAAAACATCTAAAAATAAAGTTGTCCTAAACTAAAACAAAAACAATTACCAGCAGAGGCTTTTGCATTCTAAGCTAAGGAATCAATACAAGCTGCAGAAATGTTTCAAGAAACTATGTAAACAAACACTTGAGAAAAATAGCAGTGTTAAACTAGATTGCCCCACAAATTTGAACAATAAATGTAATATACCTGTTTGGGTCTCTTTCAAAAGACTATTCTTAGCTGCCAGAGGAACCCAATCAATTTAAGTAAAACCTTGGCCTACAAACACACTCACTGAGTAAGTGAATCTTAACAAATCTAATTTCAATGAAAGGGACTAGCTGAGTCAAAGAGCAGTCCCTTGGTGTTCTTTGCTCCAGAGGTTTCATGTAACCACTGACACCAACCACTACAATAGCAAACATACAACACCCTTAAACTAAATGGGAGTTGTCTGTCTAAATATAGCTACTTTTAAATAATGCATCATGAGTTATAAAATAAAGTGCTAGTGGAGTATTTATTACAGCTCTTTTCTTTAACAAAGGTATATCACTTTTAAGTAGGTGGAGAGTTATTTATATTCTGGTTTGCATATTATCAGTGTCAGTTGTAACAGATAAAGCAAGAATCTAGATTTCCTGAACGCACACTACACAACAGTTATATCAGTAGTTAGTTTTTCCTATACAAATCTGATTCACACACACACAAAAGGAACAAAAGATGCAAGCTAAATTTAGAAAAAGTGACAATTCATTAGGTGTCTTTTTAGCATGCAAGACAATAGGAGACTTGTGCGATCTTATTTCTCACAGAACTGATTCTATCACGTTCATATACTCCATAACATCTCTTTATGTGATTATAAAACCTTTTCAGAGCTGCTTGAAAATTAACAAACACATTTAACATTGCAATATTAAAAAGAAGTGTTACACATTGTTACTTTTTAAATATTTTGAAGATAGTCACATGCAAGAGATGTCAAGACTGAATTTTTTTGTATGGTTTTAAGTTTCAAGAATATGAAATATTTGTCAAAAACAAAATGTTAAGTAATGCTTTGCTACAAGAATTTCCCCCAATGGGGAAAGTACAGATCTGTAATAGTAAAACTGACTTTTAGTAACCAAAAGGGAATGTCACTCTATCTTCTTAACAGGGGATTCCTGAGTAAAATTTCTTTCTACCCTAAACTGTTGTATAGTGTTACTCTATGCTGATAAACAGTTGATGCTTTTCACCTGGAGGTGGCTGTACTTAATCTTTTACTAAAGTGAAATCCATATTCTGCCACTGATCCTCAAACTGCCAACAATAAGGAGAGTTCTGCAGAGAAAACAACAGTGAATGACCTGTTGTATAAACAATGTGGGCCTGCAGAGTCGTTTTGACCCTAAAAACTGACTCTATGATTGCTCAGTAGTACAATGTCTTTACTGACTTCACTACATCCATAGAAACGTTAACTTCGATGGGGCACTGGGCAGGCAGGCAGTTTCTCTGTGCAGATCCAGTTGCACGATCAGGGCATAGTTGTAAAGTGTTTTGAGAGCCTCCTGAGTAGGAAAGTATTTAGCACTGGTTATCTAGAGCCTCAAGAGCAATCTTATCTGCATTCGTTTTACAGGAAAGGTGTGAAGTCGATAAGAATGAGAAAGTAAGTAATTCCCACCTGGGTGACTTTAAAGCCCTCAGACAGCCAGAAAACTTTCCCTTAGGCATTAACATTAAATTTTGACAGCTATTTTTAAGTATTCACGCCTAACCGGAGGAATGGATAGACGTTTCCTTCCATATTTCCAGCGTGGGCTTCAAGCGGAAATCATGTTTCCTTCGTGGCACTCCTGCTTTCAAAGAGGAATCGTACGTTCCCTTGTGGGCTTCAAAACTTGTGCCTGTACTTGGCCATAGGTAAGGGGCTGGTCATCGGGGCTAGAGAGCTCCCCACGAGCTGGGACACACACTGGACCCAGCCCTGCCTGACGTTCTCCCAGCGCTGAGGCCGCTCAACCGGGAGCCCGAGGGGCATGCAATGGAGAGTGAATGGAGACAGCTCCGGGGCTGGGCTTCGGCCAAGGAAGAGGCGCTGGGCTGGCAGGACGGATGCTGCCCCTCTCTGCCCGGGACGCAGCGGGCAGGCTGCGAGCTTTGCAAGCAACTCGCCCCAAGCCCGGTTGCTCAGCCCCCTGCAGGCGGGGACAGAGGCGGGCGCCCCAGCTGGAGGGAGGCAGGAGGAGACCCCAGGCACCGGCGCGCTGTGCGGGGCTGGGGTGGGACGCGGCAGTCTCTCCGGCTCCAACAGGCAGAAGCTCCCCGGGTGTCCCGGGGACCGTCCCGCCCGGCCCGGCTCTTACCTTGCTGCGGATCTGGCCCGAGGTGGACACTTTCCGGATGAGTTTCTGGGGGCCCTCGTGCTCCCCCTCGCTGTCCGAGGACTCGTCTCCCGCCGCCGCCGTTCCCACCGCCGGGGGCTGGGGCTGCTGCTGGATCCCGGCCCCGCTCATCCTCGCCTCGGCCCCGGCCATCTTCTCGGACTCCTGCCGAGAGAGAGCACACGAGTTCGGCTCAGCCCGGGCTGCCGCTCCCCTCCCCGGGCAGGAGGCGGCGCAGGGGGAGGAGGAGGCGGCGGCGGGGACAAGCCGAGGAGGAGCCGGTGTAACGACACGAAACACAACCCTCCCGTTTTGCTACTGGGTGCGGTTTCTGCCACGCAACGTGACAGTTTGTTAACTTGCTACCGCCTGTCCATGGGGTTGCAAAACGGGAGGGATGGGGTATGTGGTCAAAAACACTCATGGTCTGCTTCCTCTGGGGGATGGTTGCAAAACGGGAGGAATGGGGTTTGTGGTGGAAAACA